CACCAAAAATCCGGTTCTTCATGATCGCATGAAGCATGTGGGCACAGACTGTCACTTTGTACGAGATGAGGTTATGGCAGGCACTATGACTCCACATCATGTTTCCTCCTCAGAGCAGCTAGCAGACATTCTTACCAAACCGCTTCCGCCAGTTCCTTTTGAGTACTTATGTTCCAAGCTGCCCATCGTCTCCGTTGATCAGCTTGCGGGGGGATATTAGGAAGTATAATTAAATTAGGATACTTCTTTCCTTTCCTACTAGGATTATTCTTTCCTTTCCTACTTGTACTTTGATTACTCTTGTATTCCCTATATATAGGGCCATATCTCTCAATATTCAATAAGACAAGTTATTATCAAATTGTATCAATCACCACAACTAACTAACTCTATTTTACATACATACATACATACATACATACATACATATATATATATATATATATATATATATATATATATATATATATATATATATATATATATATATATATATATATATATAGAGGATAGGATATGTTTGTAAAATATATTTGTATAATATGTGCGGTGGGGTTCTAGTGCCACTGGAGTACGGTGCTACTGGCATTTTGGGGCACCTCCGGTGCTCCGTTCGCAAAATTGACGGTTCCTACCCCCCCTAACCCACCCCCTAAACCCCCTACCCTACCCCCGCCCCTGCACCCCCACCCCAACCCCGCCGTAAGCCCCCCACAAAATGTGTGGCTATTATACGTTCATAATAGCCACACTTTTGTGGGGGGCTTACGGCGGGTTGGGGTGGGGGTGCAGGGGCGGGGGTAGGGTGGGGGGTTTAGGGGGTGGGTTAGGGGGGTAAGAACCGTCAATTTTGCAAACGGATCACTGGAGGTGCCCCAAAATACCAGTGGCACCGGAGTGGCAGCGTACTCCAGTGGCACTAGAACCCCACCGTAATATGTGTTTGTATTGTATGTTTATATATATAATGTGGGCGTGCCTATTGACCCGCACGGGCCGAACTTAATGCCCAAGCCCGTTCATATTATTTGCCGGTCTGGCTGAGATGGTTGTCCATATCCATCCATTTTTTAAGACATAATGGGCAGACCAACCCAAATTTGTATAGGCCTATGTCTAATACAAATATAAATTAATAAAGCTATTGGCATTAAAATTTTTAGTAAATTTCATAATTGGTCCTTTATAACAAGGAGTTTTTCTTATTTAGTCTTTTAGGATCAAATATTACCATGGGGGTTCTTCTTTTATGGATACTTTTTCATAAATAATCTATTTTTTGACTTTCTGTCAATGTTGGTATTAATTTGAAGGCTAAAAATGTAATTTCATAATAATCATATATCTTTCTTGTAATACACAGTTTTAGATGCCACTTGTAATGCGTCGTTTAGTGAATTGCTGTCATTTTTTACCAAACTTATAGTCTACACATGTCTTTTGTCGGAATCATAGTCCACAGTCATTATTGTTTAGTTGTCATTTTGCTCGACATCAGAATAACTCACTAGACATAAGATTGATGTCAAATTATACTTTTAGCTTTCAAATTAACATTAACATGATAGAAGGTCAAAAAAGAATTATTTGTGAAAAACTACCTTAAACGAAAGACCACAAGGACAATATTTGATAATAAAGAATTAAATAGAATTAATTTCATGGTATAGAATGCTAATAATGCAATTTACTCAAGTATCTGAAATGTAATTATTCGAGCCCTTATTCTTCTGTAACCAACTATGCGTTTATGCCCCTGCCTTTTGCCTCAAACCCACCCCTTTTTTTAATTATGAGCACAAATTAAATTAAATATCGTCTTAGATTAGTACTCCGTATTTATTAATCATAACTCCTTCCTTCCCAAATTAATTGACCTTTCAGCCATTTCATAACTTTTATATGTGAATGTATGCATTTTATTTATCATTTGACAAAATAAATGAACACTCCCTAAGTCCCTCCATCCCATAATTATTGTCATATCTTTTTAAATTTAGGTTGTTCTAAAATCTTACATATTACTATTCATCTTTTTCCCTTTAAAACAAAAAATCTATAGGGTGAACTCTCTAGATATAAATAAAATAGTATGAAAATACCAAAATACGAGACATAATTCTTTTAAGACCAAAACAAGCGATCTCACTGCCATTGTTAGACTGCAAGTCTGTCACAATTACCATAATGTTACATTATTACTGTCACACTATCATCATCACACTGTCATGCGTCGCCGCTGACTATCAGAATGATACCATGTATCATTAACGGTTGACTGATAACACAGATACATTAAATTGTTTGCACTTTTTCATCACACTACCAATGCGTATTCTAACACCATACTGCTATTATATTCCTGTTTTAGTCTTAAAAGACTTGGAACTCTTATTTTGTAATTTTGATACTTTTTACTTTTATCCACGAAAATTTCGTATACTTCATACTTCGTGTGATAATAAAAGTGAGTGAAATGTGAATGAGTATTCCTTTCAGAGGTATCCTTGATTCACAAATAAAATGATCAGAAGTCTCACAAATATAATATTTGTAATGTTTAATAAAAAATAAGTATTCAAAAAAATTTTAAATTAAAAATGAAATCATAATGGTAAATTTGTGAATTTTGAAACCTAAACGTAGGATTGCTCGTAATTTTCTGATTTTAGTAAGGGGTGTCTCTCTTGGGTACTCTTCCAATACAGTTGTGTTGTTAGGGATTTGCTGAGTCTGGATTCTCTTCGCCAAGCAAATCAAAACCTCTGGAAGAGTTCTAAACAGGACACAACCGCCGATTCAACTACAGAGGCTGAGTACATGGCTGCTGCTGAAGCAGCAAAGGAAGGTGTTTGGATAAAGAAGTTCATTTCTGAAATTGGAGTGGTTCCTAGCATTAATGACACAATCCCGTTGTTTTGCAACAACACTGGGGCCATTGCACAGGCAAAGAAACCACGATCTCACCAAAAGACCAAGCACATTGTACGACGTTATCACATCATACGAGAAATTTAGTATACGGAATTGACGGAATTGGAATTGAAATTCCATTGGATTCAATTTCATAGAATTGAATTATACCAATTTCAATTCATTTTTTGAACTATCAATTCCAAATTCGGGTAAATTTCAGTAATGATACCTGAACTTTCACTAGAATTTCGAAGTGGTACCTAAACTTTAAATCATTTCAAAAAAATACCTGAACCTACATAATCTTTTCACTAAAAGTTCATTTACCTGTTTCCAAGTTAACTTCCGGTTATTTGGGCTAAATTAGAATTTTATATACTTTAAAATTTTCAATTTAACCCCATTTTTTCCCATCTTCTTCCCCCTCCCACTCCCTTTTTTTCTTCTTCTTTCACCCCTTTCTTTTTTAAAATTTTCAATTTGATTTGTTTCTTGATTTTCTTTTTTTTAATATTTTGAATTGATTTTCTTAATTTAATCAAACATGGAAAATGAATCAAAATATAATCTTTTATGTTTTTATTCTAAATTTAAATCAAAAAACAATTAAGAAAATCAAAACACAAGAAGAGAAAAACTAAAATCAAATCAAACATAGAAAATGAATCAAAATATAATCTTTTACACGGTATGTTTTTATTCTAAATTTAATAGAAAAAATATAATACCAAAACACAATTAAGAGGGCAGATATTGACCTGAATTTTTCCTAAATTTAATTTAAGGAGTATTTAAATCATAATTTGAATTTCCAAATCTGCAGAAAAAGGGAACGGAGGAGATGGCTTTTCCGGATGTCGACGAATAGCAGCAACAGCATCATCCGCCATGAAAGTGGTAGCGCAGTGCAGAGCAAGCAAGCGACAGGCGGTCCGGATTCTCTTCAACAAGCAAATCAAAACCCTAGGTAATTTTTTTCTCCAAACATTTTCTGAATTGCGCCGAGTAGCGGGTTTATTTTCAATCTCCAGAAAAAGCCTCCGTTTCCGCGATTTCCCTTCAGCTGTTTCTTTTGATGTGCAGATTAAAGAAATCAAAATCATCACGAGGTTCTGGAGCTGAGGGATCCAGCCCGAAATCAACAAGGAAGACGAAAAAACCCAAGTTAGTAGTTTAAGCTTAAATCAGATTTTTTTTTGGGTTTATAGGGTAAAATTGCTGGGGCCCTGATCGATTAACTTCCCTCCCCCTCTCTGCCAGAAATATGGGTTGGGAGGAACATCCAGATTTTGATGTTGATGCTAGTCCCAAGAGCTCCATTTCAGATGTGTAAGTACTATGTTCCCTGAATCTTCTCTAAATTTTTCTTGTTCATATTTTGGTCACTTGCAATTAATTCTCCCCTTTGCCTCTTGACCTTATGGGGAGAAACATATGTTGAGATTTTTGGTGTGTTTTGTCCTTTTACCGTATGAAGAGGCTTAAAAATATATTGTTTAATACGGAGTATCTTCTTTTATTCACTAGTATCTTCTGGTTGGTGCCTTTACGGTTAGTCATTTAGAATTCAACTCATTAAGTCTATGGGTGCACCTTTGGTTGTAGGTTCCATTTTACAATTTTTTATGTTCTCATTGTCTTTTTAAGGCCAATTTTACCTCGGAATATGCTTTTCATCTGATAATGGGATTTCAATAGAAGTTTGGCATTGATTTGGGATGGAAGCGCATGATTTATGGCGATGTTTAGACTATTCATCTTAGAAGAATCTTATGGCTCTCACTCCCCCCCCCACCACCAAACCACCCCCCCAAACAAACTTCTCCTTACGTCCCATTAATCTATTTACATTTTTCTTTTTTGGACATCCTAAAAAATACTTTGGACTTTGTTTATTACCTATTTTGATAATAAATATGTTGCTACCAATATATCTCTTCTCTAATTAATTAAAAGCAATACACTTTTTTACTTTTCTGCAACTTTCTTAAATTCCATGCAAAATCCAAGTGTCCAGACTTTTTTTGCGGGACTAAGGGGGGTGTATTGAACCCGGAGTCTGTAAGATTTTTTTGGATTTTTAAAATCTGAGTGTATTCAATTTGGATTTTTAAAAATCTTGAGGTATTCAATAGTGATTTTCCAAAGTCTTTAAAAATATTGAAGTATTCAACTTGGATTTTCAAAAGTCCTTAAAAATTTTGATATATTCAAGACTCTATGAATTTTAATAGTCTATGGATTTTGTTGGATTTTCTATCAAAAAATGCTTACATTTTTACTCATGGAAATCTCTCCTCCCAACCCTAGATTTCTATGGATTTTCATCCATTCTTCATCCACCGGCGTTGTTCAATTCGTTCCCTACTGAACGAAGCTAAGGTGTTTCCGGCAGCAGATGATGGCAGTTGGCAGCCTACTATCCTGGTAACCTTACCACTGACCACATTCAACAAGTCTTTCTTTTTCTTTTTCTTTTCTTCTTTTTTTTTTCTCTTCCATTTTTATTCTTTCATATCTATTCTCTTCTCCCCTGCTCTGTGACTGTTCACCTACTCCTCCTGCTTTGCTTTGTGTCTCCGGGTGGGTGGGGGTGATATTCTACATATTTATTAAACTCCACATGGATTCTACGAATTTTTCAAACTCTACATGGATTCTACAAAAAATTCACCAAACTCTACATGGATTCTATAGATTTTTCAAATCCATTAACTTTTTGAAATCTAAAAAAATCTAATAAAATCCTAATTGAATACACCCCCCTAAGTTAGTATTTTAAATGATAGCGTGAAAATTAGATATTATGGTGTCATGTATAGATAATAGGGCGTTTTTCCTAGCCTTCCATCATCTCCGATCCTAAAATTCACTAATTTTTGGCTTTGGGGTGTGCTGGAATAAATCAAAATGGATCTCTAAACTATTTGTACTTATTTAATTAATGAATTAGTCAATCAATGCAGCTTTCAACGTTGAATCGGGGTCTCTTCGGAAACAGCTTCTCTACTTTCGAGTAGGAGTAAGGTCTGAGTACACACCCTCCTCAGATCCTACTCTTCTGGGAGTGAAGTGGGTTGGTGTTGTTGTTGTAAAGATATTAGGGTGACTGAATTGTGGGGGTTTTGCTAGAGCAACAATGTTGAAGATTAGCGTGATATATATAAATCTGTGTGTCTGTGTGTGTCCAATTTTATCTCTTATTGCAAGTTAGGTTCTTGGTTCATTATATGTTGAATATTTTGCTACGCCATTTCATTTTCCCATACTTCTAGACCATGACAGAATTCCTGCTTCTGCTTGTGCATTATACCACCCTTATCGCACTCCAAAAAAACAAAAAGTGGATTATTGATCCAATTAACTGGATGTGTTAGTCGTGCTATCTTTTTATTTGTATTTTCCATACGTCCATGCAGTTGTTGTCCTGATTCACCATGTTATCCCAAAGTGGTGGTACCTGAAGAGGATGTCCAGCACCAACATACTAAGTCTGCTATGATTGCATTGGCATACTACAACAAGAAAAATGTATGTGAAATGCCAACTATTAATTATATCTATTTTTTTGTTTCCATATCTATGACAAAGCCAAAGATTCACTTTTTTTTTTGCTTTGGTGTATGATGGAATAAAGCAAACTGGCTCTTTAAACCGTTCATTGCTTTTTTAATAGTGAATTAGCAATTAGTCAATTCAACTTTTGACGCTCATCATGGGTCATCTCGAAATAGCTGCTCTATACTNCCCCCCCCCGAATTACCCCACAATGGGAGGGAGCCTTTAAGGCACTGGGGTAATGTTGTTGGGTATAATGGAATAAAGCAAAATGCTCTTTAAACTGTCTGCCCATGCTTCTTTTAATACTGAAGTAGCAGTTAGTCAATGCAACTTTTTATGCTCTCATCATGGGTCTTCTGAAAAGAGCCACTCTATGTTTTAAACATATGGATCAGACTGCAGACATCCGCTTCCCTTGCCGTGCAATGGGCAGAGTCTTTGTGGAACTGGGGTTATGTTGTTGCTGCTAGTTATCCTTTTTCTGATTACGTTCAATTTTTTTATCGTTGTTTCCTTGTTCATGTGTTTTTTAATTTGTAGCACACTAACTACAAGCTTGTAGAGGCTTTATGGAGCAATGCCAAGTTGTACAATGGACTCTGGATTCATTGCAACTTTAAAGCTAAGCCAGATATTCCTTCCAAGAGGGGTGAAGATGCGAATGTGTCATCCAAGCTCTTCTTTGCTGAACTTTATCAATCAGAACCTTTTGTTTGGAAAACCAGTGCTTGTCGTGTTTTAAATGGTGAGGACCATGCATAAGCTATCTCTCTTTTGATAGATTTTATTGCCAACTTCAAAACCACCACCCCCCTCCCCCCGGGATAAACAAGAAGCAAAATAGAAATCATATTGATAGTTTTGTGTGTCATATCACGTGGCCTGCTTCATTTGCCTTTTGCGGTGGTGGTTTTATAATCTTTCTCGATTTTATTTGTGCCTTTTGTTCTTAATGTTGAACCCTCTATGTTTGAAACCAAGAAATACCCCGAGCTTTTCTGTAGCATGTGAAATGTTCCCGCATTACCTGCCATTGAGGGTTGATAACTATGATCTAACACTCACATTGACCACAAATTACTTTATGTTCTACAGGTTCCAAAACCAAAAGTGGTTGTCTGATGTGCAAACGAGGGATTCATCCAACCCACGGGTTTAGGAATGGGCTTTATGAGTATAAACCACGCACTCTACGCTCTCGATCGGGTAAGGTTTGCCCAGCAGCACTCTGATCTTTGACCTGAAGCTGGCTGGTATACCATGAGCGAGTTTAATATGATGTTTCAAAACTCTCCGGACAGTGTAGTATGTAGATGTTTTAACATGTCTTTTGTTTGTGGTTTAATATCTATTTTAGGGTACTGTTTTGTAGGACTTGAATGCCTATTTATGATCACGAGTGGCTTTTTAATTTATTGCTATTGTCAATGGCCTCCTACATTTTATTTTGAAGAGTGTTTCGAAGATCATAATGCCTGTTTTTGGTGGCTGGTGATGTTTGTTTCTAAGACAATTGTGCAGTCCCAACCAGAGTATGCAAAGTACACAATGTTACATTATTCTGGTGTACACTACACAACCAAACTGAATAATTTAAAGTATTCTTGTCCATCCAAAGTTAATTTTCTATTGATTTAAATAATGGTGGCAAAATTTAATGGTGTGTTTGAAAAGCAACTCATGTCAACCAAAGTATATATACACACACACACTGACACACAAATGGTGCAACATGAAGACCTCATCTCAATTGAAGTACTTGCGGTGCACTCTTCGTAAATTTGATACTCCCTCCGGCCTCTTAACTTTCCCATAAACCCCCACCCCCGGCCTCTCTCCTCAAGTCATTCTAGCACCCGCAATTGAACCATATAAGTTTGGTTGACATTTTGATCACAATTTTGACCCTAAAAGGCAGTTAAACTTATGAGGTGTAATTAGACCTGGCAAAATATGATCCGACCCGTTTTTTACCCGAAACCCGACCTGAAATTAGCGGGTTTTGAACATGAATTTTGTGACCCGAACCCGAGGACCCGTTAAAATTTCGGGTCGGGTCGGGTCGGGTCTGACCCAACGGGTTAAGCACTCCAAACTTAAAATTAAGAATTTAAGATTTTATATTTTTATTTATTCAAATCGTTGCATCTGCCGATTCTCCCTCTCGGTTATACGGTTATACCACAAATCCACAATCCACATACAGCCTGGAATACTAATCGGCACTTAAACCTAATTGTTCCCTCTCCATCGGCGGACCCTCCCTCTCGCAATTGCTCCGCCAATCGTTGCAGTCTTCTCTCTTCGGTCAATCATCCTCTGACCTCCAGTGGCCTCGGCTCAATGGTGAGAAGAAACAAGCAGAGTAGTGGAATTCCTAACCCTAGTTCAGCATCTTCAGTTGGGTCTATAGGTAACTCATGTTAACTCTCTTTTAAAATATAAAATCATTGTTTTCTATTTAGGAAGTATGTTTTAATATGTGTTTTTTGCTATTTACGGAGTATTATGTTTCGATTTTGGAAACTTGGTAAACTGCCACACTCTGCCATTGAAGTATTATGCTTTCACCAAGGAGTATTATGCTTTCACCACGAGCAAATTTGCTGATTTGGAAATTTTTGCTATAAACTTGTCTATTTGCTATAAACCTGTTCCTATTTGCTATAAAATTGTCTATTTGCAGATTTGGAAATCCCCCCCCAAGCAAGCAGTATATATATACTATATATTCTTGGGTGTTCACATCAACAATACTACCCAAGTTTTGACTTTTGACCAATTGAATACATGTCCTCAATTTTCTTGTGAGGGGATTTGATCCCCAAAATTTAAAGTCTATAGATATTGACTAAAATATAGCACTCTTTTATTTTTTGTGTTAACTACATTATAAATTTTAGGAGTTTCATTTTTTATTTTATCATACAGGAACTACCACTAGAAATGAAGAGTCATCTCAAAGTCAGAAAAGAAAATGGGCTTCACCAATTTGGGACGAGTATGATGTGTTTGATGGAGATCAATTTCCAGATGGTCAAGATAGAGCTCTTTGCAAATACTGTAAGGGAGGACCAACTTTTGCGAATTCTAAGAATGGTACAACTAATTTTAAACGCCATACTGAAAATTGTAATGCCCGTGTTGCTAATGATGTTGGTCAATTACTATTAAACAAAAACGCTAACTTGGCTAAAACATTAGACCAAGGCACATACAGAGAGTTGGTTGCACTAAGTATTATAAGACATGGTTATAGCTTTAGTTTTGCAGAACATCATGGGAATAGGGCTGGCTATACATGTGTATTTGAATGAAGAGTGCAAACCTATCTGTAGAAATACAGCTAAGAATTATTGTCTGAAGATTCATGAAAGAGAAAGATTAAAGCTTAAAAAAGTCTTGAGTGAAATTGATGGTAAAATATGCTTCACTTCAGATATGTGGTCATCAATAGTTGGACAAGGTTATCTTAGCTTGACTGCTCACTTTGTTGATGAAAATTAGAATTTGCAAAACAAGATTCTTAGCTTTTGTCATGTGCCACCTCCACACAATGTTGATGCCATTCATGAAAAGATTTTAAGTCTTCTTAAGACTTGGGGAATTCATAAGAAAGTCTTTTCCATGACGCTAGATAATGCGAAGTACAATGACAACATGCAGGGTCTTTTATCAGATTGTCTCTCTATTTATTCTCGTTTGCCTGCTAATGGTGACTATTTTCATGTTCGTTGTGCTGCTCATATAATGAATTTGATTGTTAAAGAGGGTCTTACTGTGATTGATACTTCTATGCGTACACTCAGAGACTGTATAAAATATGTCACTGCTTCTGAGGGTCGAGAGTTGAAATTTGAGGATTGTGCTAATAGTCTTGGCGTGGATACTTCAAGAAGTTTGTGGTTAGATTGTCCTACTAGGTGGAATTCAATTTTTAAGATGCTTGATAGAGCACTCCCGTATCGTTATGTTTTTTATGGTGTGAAAAGGATGGATCGTAATGCCCCCCCCAGTTCCAAGCGATGAAGAATGGGTAAGAATTGAAAGGATCCATGAACTTTTGAAGCCATTTGATGAAATTACTACACAATTTTCTGGGCTACACTATCCTACAGCAAATATGTATTTATTAAATTTGTGGAGAATCCAATGTTTCTTAAAGAGACATTCTGATGATATAATATAGACAGATATGTGCATAAGAGAGATGGCAAAGAGGATGAAAGTGAAGTTCGACAAGTATTGGGAATCTTATAGCATGATACTTTCATTTGCAGCAATTTTGGATCCTCGATATAAACTTCAATTTGTGAGATTTTGTTTTACCACCTTAGATCCTATAATTGCAGAAGCGAAGGTGGAAAATGTGAAGGACGAACTTTTTAAATTATTTGGTGAGTATTCAACAGTTGATCCTACTAACGATGTGAATTCAAATGTAAGGAATACATCAGCACACCTAGAGGTATGTTTATAATTTCATTTTACATTTATTTATAATCTAATCATAATACTCCATAAGTCTTATTGTTCAGTCATGATTTTTAAACTTAAGCTTATATATATATATATATATATATATATATATATATATATATATATATATATATATATATATATATATATATATATATATATATATATAATGTTTCAGTTTTTGCTATTCATTCCTCTTTTGAAATTGTATGTAGGCTTTTTTAGCATTTGATGGAGTGACAACTTCTAGGTTTAAATCCCAATTGGATGTATATTTGGAAGAACTCAAGGTGGATCCTAATGAAAATTTAGATGTTCTTGAATGGTGGAAGGACAATGCTAAAAGATTTCCTGATGTTGCAAAAATGGAAAAAGATATATTAAGCATACCAATCACCACAGTTGCATGTGAATCTGCTTTCAGTTTAGGTGGTAGAATTTTAACAAAGTGGAGAGCATCACTTAAGCCAGAGAATGCAGAAGCTTTGATTACCACTTGTAGTTGGATATTTGGCTATGATGTTGATGAAGGTAATTTAATATATAAGCCTCAATTTATTTTTCACTTACAAATTAACTCTTCATATGTGTTATTGTATTAATATGTAGATGAACGTGACAAACTTGAAGAAGGCATTGAGTTGGATTTCAGGCGTTCTACTCGTGATAAGCATCAAATTGATATGGAGAATGACTTCACTTGAGAATGAACTTCTAATCATTTTGTTTGAACTCTAAACTATTTGGTATTTTGATTAGTGTGCTTGGATGGTTCATTTGGGACATGATGATATTTAGAACTTTTTGCTATGTTTACTTTTTTGTTGTTGTTTTGAATGATGATTTTCTATTTTGAAAAATGCATTGATCACTTCATCTCTAAATGGAAAATTTACAATTTTTAAATACGCTTGTTAACCCGTTGGGTCAACCCGAACCCGATAGGTCTGGGTCATGAACAAGCACCCTTAGACCCGAACCCGAAGTAACTCGAACCCGAAGTAACCCGAACCCGATATGACCGAACCCGAACTCGACCTGACCGACCGTTTTGCCAGGTCTAGGTGTAATAATAAGAGCTAGGATGGTCGTGAGGGGGCAAGGTTGGGGTGAGGGTTTATGAGGAGTAAAAACTGTCAATTTTTCGAACGAAGCATTGTGTGTGTGCAGTGTGCATGTAGACATTTTAACATTCCTTGTGTTTTTTTGCTTGAATCTCTGTTTATAATGGTTTTGAATAAACCTGTGCAAACAAGGGTCGGCCCAGCCCGCCCTTTAAAAAGGGTGGATATGGGCAACCATTAATACCCAAATGGGCAGGCCGGCCCAAGCCCGAATTATAAATGGGCGGATCTGGAAGTTACTTTTAGCCCATCCGGCCCGCCCATTTTCATCAAATATATTTACTTTATTATTAATTAACTAGCCAATATAAATTTTAAAATTTTCTATAACTCATGTAAAATAGTTTAATTTACTCACCTCTTTTAAACAAAAATTAATACTCTTTTAATTAATAAGTATGATGAGCTTATTAATTATGCAACAATATCTCTATTATGTTTTCTATATAAATGTGGTGACTGGTTATTTTATTGTAAATATTAAAAAAGAGTTCAATGTTTTTTTTTAAATTTTTTGTACAAAAAAATTTCTTGATGTTTTATCCGGGCCGGGCGGCCGGTGGGCAGTCCGGCCCGCTAAGATGGGCGGGTATGGGTAAAGAATTTAGCCCATCAAATCCGGGCCGGGCCAGGCCCGCCCATGTAAATAGGCTAATAATTTATATCAAGCCCGGCCCAGATCCGGCCCGGATCCTTATTTGCACGGGTCTAGTTTTGAATATTTATATCTTGGCATTTTGTTTTAAGGTGATGTAGTGTTGGTTGGGCCGAAATGCCTGCCTACCTATGATCTCACTTGTGTCTGTGTACGTACTGTTGAATTTCTAGCCTTTTTCGTTTCATGAATGTTTTTTTAATAAAAGAATGTAGTTTGGACATGCTGTTTATTATAGCATTTTTAAT